GGAAGTGGTCCCTGACTACACGAAGGGAGTCAGGGAGGCGGGTGACTATATAATAGAGAGTGATGTACATGGGGGGGGGGTTCTTGGCGCAGAACTCAGCAGGAAGCGCAGCGCGGTAGCGAGTGTCACTAGTGCGGAGGTGCGTAATGAGGTCAGCGACTGTGGGAAAGGCAGCAAGGTCAGGGAAGAGGTACGGTAGCATGAGGCGGCTCAATGCAGCAGTGGCAGGGGAAGAGTTGCGCGCAACGACAGCGTCGTACAAGGTCTGAGCACTCTTGTACTGACTAAAGTGCGCGCGCTCAGTGGTAGGCAGGTGGCGACGCACAGCAAGACGTGCAGCAGCATTGCGCGTGGCCCACTGGGAGCGAACAGTGGGGTCAGCATCAGCAGCAGGGGCGGGAGAGGCGCCAGAGGTGAGGTCAAAGAGAGAGAGACCGTCTGCCCTATCGCACTGTAAGAACAGCTGCATGTCGTCGACCCAGACCTCAAAGTCAATGGCTCGACCCTCAGCGTCAAACGCGAGGACACTAGGGGTAGCCATGACAACAGTAGACTAGCAGTACCAACTGTAGGACAGGGGCAGTGCAGTGACAGAAGCGCTGCTCTCACCAGACAGGGCGGTTCGGGCAGCTCAGTAGCACAGCAACACGGCAACACGGCTGCTCGGACGGCTCAGCAGCAACTGCGGCTCCGCGGCACCAGCGGCTCGGCTCCTCAGGCGGCTCGGGCGGCTCGGGCGGCTCGGGCGGGTCGGGCGGCTCGGGCGGCTCGGCTCCTCAGCGGCTCAGGCGGCTCGGGCGGCTCGGGCAGGTCGGGCGGCTCGGGCGGCTCGGGCGGCTCGGCTCCTCAGCGGCTCAGGCGGCTCGGGCGGCTCGGACGGCTCGGGCGGCTCGGGCGGCGCGGGCGGTGTAGGGCGGTAGGGCCGCTGGTAGGGCGGCGGGGCCGCAAGGTAGGTGGCGGGGCCGCAGTGGGAGGGGCGGCGGGGCCGGAGTGAAGGGCGGCGGGGCCGCCGTGAAGGGCGGCGGGGCCGCTGAGAAGGGCGGCGGGGCTGCAGTGAGAGAGGCGGCGGGGCCGCAGAGAAGGGCGGCGGGGCCGCTGAGAAGGGCGGCGGGGCCGCAGCGAGAGAGGCGGCGGGGCCGCAGCGAAGGGCGGCGGGGCCGCTGAGACGGGCGGCGGGGCTGCAGCGAAGGGCGGCGGGGCCTCAGTGTGAGGCGGCGGGGCCGCAGTGAAGGGCGGCGGGGCTGCAATGTGAGGCGGCGGGGCCGCAGCGAAGGGCGGCGGGGCCGCAGCCAAGGGCGGCGGGGCCGCTGAGACGGGCGGCGGGGCCGCAGCGAAGGGCGGCGGGGCCGCTAAGAAGGGCGGCGGGGCCGCAGCGAGAGAGGCGGCGGGGCCGCAGCAAAGGGCGGCGGGGCCGCTGAGACGGGCGGCGGGGCCGCAGTGAAGGGCGGCGGGGCCGCAGTGAAGGGCTGCGGGGCCGCAGCGAAGGGCGGCGGAGCCACAGCGAAGGGCGGCGGGGCCGCAGCGAAGGGCGGCGGGGCCGAATCGACGGGCTGCGGGGCCGCTAGGGCGGCTCGACGAAGTGAGAGCCCGGAGCGCGACTCGGGCTGAGCGCGCTTCGGGCAGGAAAAAAAAACTCGATGTGGTGGGCCCTAGGCACAGTTCCCACGGGGGAACCTGCTCGATACCATGGGGAAATTAGAACGAGAATGAAATGACTATGGAATGAAAGTGATACAAATATGCAACCCTAGAAATGTGTACCCCATATGGGCTACCCCACTAAAGCCTAGACAACATTATAATTTGACAGGTTGAGTACACGTGGGGGGAGAAAGAGCAAGCTGCCTTCTCGGCCCTCAAAAACATTTTGTGCTCACCGCGCGTGCTTCACATCGCAGATCCACACCGTCTGTTCGAGCTCATCACTGACGCAAGTGACATCGCTGTGGGAGTAGTACTGTTGCAGGATTTCGGGAACGGCCTCCAGCCAATCGCGTACGAGTCCCGCAAGCTGCACCCGCCCGAACGCAATTACCCGATACACGACCGCGAAATGTTGGCGATCGTGCACGCGTTCAAGGTTTGGCGGTGTCACCTGACTGGCGTCGACGTGACAGTACGGACAGACCACCGATCACTACAGTACTTACGCGCCCAACCGAATCTCAATCCACGACAGATTCGCTGGTGGGACTACCTCGAGTCCAACTTCCACTACACGGTTACGTACAAGAAAGGCGCATCCAACATCGCCGACGCACTCACCCGCCCTACCGCCCAACTCCACGCCATCCTACTCGCCCAAACCAACCCGCTTTTAACAGGCCTATTCACCCACGGATATCGCACTGACCCGTTTTTCACGATCGGAAATTCACAGCAATTGGCAGAAGCTAAAGGAGTTTATTACGTAAAAACAGGCACCAACCGCATCTGGGTACCCGCGTACTCACTACTGAGGGAGCTGCTACTGCAGGAGGCACACGACGGAATTACATCGGGACATTTTGGGGTAGAAAAAACGCGACAGCAACTGCAGCGGTATTACTACTGGCCGGAGCTGTTGACCGACGTGCAGCAGCACGTGGGCTCGTGCCCCACGTGTCAGGTGATGAAGAGCTCGAGGAAGCGGAAGGCAGGTCAATTGCAGCCGATACCACCGCCCGAGCGCGCCTGGCAGCAAATTACCATGGACTTCGTCACAGGGTTACCTTAGAACCCTTGGGGGTAACGACGCGGTGATGGTCGTCGTTGACAGGTTGACGAAGATGGCACACTTCGCTGCGTGCAAAAAGTCGATCTCAACCGAGGAGACCGCTCGTCTGTTCATCGCAGCCGTTGTTCGCCTGCACGGGATACCAGCAGCGATTATTAGCGACAGGGACACGAAGTTCACCAGCAACTTCTGGAAGAACCTCTGGGAGCAGTTCGGAACCAGGCTGCAGTTCAGTTCGTCGTACCACCCCGAGACCGACGGTCAAACGGAGCGAACAAATCAGACGATGGAGCAGTTGATTCTGACAAAATCTAGCAAGTCGAGTTGGGCTTAGGAGCCATGGCTAGTGAGTTCGAGGGTGTTGAGGAAAGTATCGAGAGAGTTGAGAAGGAGAATGAGGTTCAATAATAGCAAAGAGATACAACATATAGTCAAGAAACTAGAGGTGCACCACCAAACAGAAGACAAGATAAATACACTACACCTAAACCACAAGCAGTTACATAAAATAACTTTGACAGATTCGTGCCACGTGCGACGACCCCACGACTTGGGAGCAGCAGCTGCTGCTAATCGAGTTCGCGTACAACAACGCCACGTTAGCGACGACGCAGCAGTCCCCCTTCTACCTGAACTACGGGCAAAATCCTACAGTGCCCATGACGCCGAGTCCGGACAACCCAACACCACGCGCACAGCAATTCGCCGAAATTCTGCAAGCTGCCCGCACCAGAGCCGCAGAAGCAATTAAAAAAGCAAACGTCATCGCTAAGCGCAACGCTGACCGCCATCGCCGCCCAGTCACATACCAGTCAGGGGATTACGTACTGCTCGACACGCAAAATCTGCGACTACCCGACGTACCAAAACTTCGACCGCACTACTGTGGCCCATTTCAAATCAGCCACATGATTACGCCAGTAACCGTGCACCTACTATTACCGACCGACTGGTACATCAGTCCTTTGTTCCACGTCAGCTTGCTTCGCCCATACATCCCAACCACAAGCCAATTGCCTCGCCACCGCCCGCCTATCCATGACTCGCCCTGCATCGGAGCCGATCATCGAGCCCGAAAAAATCCTGAGCCATCGGATTCGACACCCCACGGGAATCAGGAGGATTGAATTCCTCGTTCGCTGGAAGGACCGCACGCCAACTGAAGATAGCTGGGTGCCCCTGGCCAACATTGAAAACCACCTTGCCCTGCAAGTGTACCTGAGGAGCCGGGAATTCCGCGATATACATGCACTCTCGTAGTGGAGGGGGCTTCTTGAGGGGGGGGGTAGTGTAAGGAATTTTCTCGGCATTCCTTACGGAGCCCGACTACATCGCGTATAGCAACAGCCGTTGTTCGCCCGTCACTACTAACGGGACTTCGCCAACTTCGCGCGCACTGTTTTGCCAAACCTCGCACTGCTGGCCCGGCCGTGCCGGCCTACGCTTCGGGACTAGCCCGAGCCTCGCTGCCAGCATAGCACTAGCTAGCTCGCACGCACCGCGTTACCGTTTGCATGTTTCGCATATAAATGTTCGTTCATGCCTTCGCTCACATCCTTATACTCGTTTGACACCTTAGTGCAATTCTCACTACTTCGATTCATTGCACCCGTAACAAAGTTAATTGAACAGCTTGGAAAATGCTACTCGTAAGTAACAAAAATAACAGCTTTTCCTCTGGTGCTTGAGTTATAGCACCTTAACTGACAAAAATGTCAACCTCTGAGTAACCAATTTCAAGCCTCCCTTGCGCTGACTGCATATTCTACTGCCTTCTGAATCCCGTAGGGTCGTGCACTGACACGTGATTTCACATTACGAGGTCTCAAGGTGTGCTGCTGTCATATAGAGACTCCAAGAACCGCCGTGCCTTGGGTGGGCTGCCATCCTTCTTCTTCAAGCTCACCTTGCGAGCCGTCTTCGTCTGCAGGCATCGCCAGGTGGAAGTCGTTCAGCAAAGATAGAGGATGAGGGGGTTTGCACACACTGAAGCTCGGCCAGAACCTAAGGAGAACTGAGGACGGGTGCAGACTAGCCAAGGATCAGCACGAGCACAAAGCATCTGTCGACAGTCAAAGCCAGCAGCCTTTCACCAACCATCCCCATCTCACAGCTTTCCTCCTCCCCTCCCCTCCAGCCTTACTCGTCGCAGAGCAGAGTAAGGTCCATAATCGCCTGGTGTTCCGCGCGGTGCAGCCTGTTTCCCTTGCTCCCCAGCCCTGCTCACCCAGCCTACTAATGCCATGCCATGTCATCCCTCCCTCCCTTGAAGTCTTACCCATCACTAAGTAAGGTCCATAATCACCTGGTGCAGACCCAAATGCTTCGCGCGGTGCAGCTTGTTCTCCTTGCTCGGCTTGTGCAGGTTGCCTCCCTGAGCGCTCAGCCACTGCCATCGCTCTCCCTCAAAAACTTACCCATCGCAAAGTAAGGACCATAATCGCCTGGTGCAGGCCCAGGTGTTCCACGCGGTGCAGCTTGTTCTCCTTGCTCGGCTTCGGCAGCTTGCCTCCCTGTGCGCTCAGCCACTGCTATCGCCCTCTCTCCAAAACTTACCCGTCGCAAAGTAAGGTCCATGATTGCCTGGTGCAGGCCCAGGTGCTCCGCGCGGTGCAGCTTGTTATCCTTGCTGGGCTTCGGCAGCTTGCCTCCCTGCGCGCTCAGCCACTGCTGCGACACGCCCATGAGGCGGTACCGCCCGTCCGGCTGTAGCTGCCACGCCTGGCGCTTGTCAAAGAGGCACGCGTCGATGATGGACTGTAGCTCCGACTTGATTGCACGGTCCTCCACGGGGGTTACCACCTCCACACGCCGTGTCAGGTTGCGACTCATCCAGTCAGCTGATCCGATGTAATACTGGGGGTCTCCGCCTGGGGGGGAGAAAAAAAAGGGTGGAAAACGCAGGGTGGAGGGCGTAGGGGGGAAGGGGGGGAAAATCGGAGAAGGAAGAGAAGAAACGTTCACGAGGTGGTTGTGACTCATTCAGTCAGCAGAACCAATGTAAAAGTAGAAGTTCGCACCCCCTTCCAACCCACACAAACCACTCCCCACCATTCTCAAACTTAAAAGATGAGATGGTGCTCGAGACGTCGCCCAATGATTTTCGCCACCCTCAAACCACCCCCATGCCCACACCCATTCCCCACCACACCCCACCCTTTCACTACACCACCTGCCACCCCTCCCACCCCTCCCCAACCGCTCCTCACCGTTCTCAAACTTGAAGATGCGGTGGTGCTCCAGGAACCGCCCGATGATGCTCACCACCCGCAGGTTCTCGCTCACGCCCGGCACCCCCGGCCGCAGCCTGCACATGCCCCGCACGATGCAGTCCACCTTCACACCGTTCCCCACTGCTTCGTAAATCTTCGCAACCATCACTTCATCGTCCAAACCGTTGCATTTGATCACCACGTGGGCCGGGAGGCCAGCTGCTGCATTGGCAATTTCGCGGTCGATGAGGCGGAGGAACTCCCGCCGCATGGTGCCGGGGGCGACGAGCAGGCGGTTGTACTTGTTCTGTCTGTGGTACCCTGTCAGGTACTTGAACAGATCCCTCACATCCTCTCCTAGTTCTGGCCGACAGCTGGAAGCAGGGAGGGAGGAGAAAACAAAGTCACGGGTGGGGGATGGGAAGACTGGAATGAGGTGGAAGCGCCCGCAGAACAGCGCATGGTCAAAAGAAGACTAAAACGAGGTGGAAGCGCTTGCAGAAGGACAGCGCAGGAGGACAGCGCATGGTGCTGCTGGGTGCGACAAGCAGGCCACTGGTTTGAACTTGTTCTGCCAGCAATATTCTATCATATCAGGCACTACTTCTGTCTCCCAGCCTTGAAGGCAAGTCACAGACGCACCTGAAGAGGCCAAAGTCGGTGTAGACGGAGGCGGTGCGGGGGTTGTAGTTGCCGGTGCCGATGTGCACGTAGGTGCGGAAGCCCTCCTCCTCCTCGCGCACCACCATGATGCACTTGCAGTGCGTCTTCAGCCCCACCAGCCCGTACGCCACGTGGCACCCCGCGTTCTGTCGTGGCGAGGGGGAGAATGTATGGGAGAAGCAAGAGAGGTGGTCAATCTCTGGAGACACCAAAATGGCCCCACCAGCACATACGCCACGTGGCACCCCGCGTTCTGTTGGTGCGCGGGGGGGGGGAAGGCAGGAAAGAAATGAGAGAGATGATCAATGCTTGAAGACTCCGACCAAGCCCCACCAGCCCATACGCCATGCAGCACCCCGCACTCTGTGGTGGAAAAGGAGAGAAGGGACATGACCAAACGATTTGGGTAATTGTCAGCCGCAAGTTCGAGTCTCCATGGGGTTGATGGTTCGGAGAAGCCTAACATGGAGTTAATCTTGAAAAAAAAACCCTGAATCCGGAAAATCCAATCAGTTGCCCCCAACGTACCTCAAGTTTTTGCGCGAATCCCACATTCCTGGCTTCGTCGAAGCGGGCTTTAAGCTCCACCAGCACGGCCACCTGCTTGCCATACTCGGCTGCCTTGATGAGCGCTGAGATCACGGGGCTATCCGCTGACGTGCGGTAGAGCGTGGCTTTAATAGCTTGCACCTGCACAAGGGGAACGCATGGGATAGGGACGAGGGAAAGAGAGAGACAAATACCGTAATGAGCGCTGAGCTGAGAGCCAAAGGATGAGACCAATGGAATGTCAGAGCGGTCTTCAGCACAGAGAGGACAGGGAGGGCGCTGACCTTGGGCGCTGACCTTGGGGTCAAGGGCAGCCGCCTCAACGAAGTGCTGTGTGGAGGTGCCAAAGCTGTGGTAGGGGGCTTTTGAGATGCGTCTCAAGTTAGAGAGGGCGCTGACCTTGGGGTTGTGGGCAGCAGAAGGAGGGTGCTTGCTTACCTTGGGGTCACGGGCAGCCGCCTCAACAAAGTGCTGTGTGGAGGTGCCAAAGCTGTGGTAGGGGTGATGAACCAACACGTCCCCGTGCCTTATGGTGTCGAATATGTCTGCCTGGGAAGGGGCAGGGGCGGAGAGGAGGAGGAGGGGAGGAGGCACAAGGGGAATGAACACGGCTATTTGGTGGCAAGGGTGTAATTAGAGGCGCCTCAAAATACACCTCAATGCTCGAGGAGGAGTGGAGGAGGGGAGGATGTACGAGAAAGGGAATGAACACGGCTATTTGGTGGCAAGGGTGATGCACCAACACGTCCCCTTACCTTATGGTGTCGAATATATCCGCCCGGGGGGAAGGAGAGGAGGGGAGGAGGAGAGGAGGAGGGGAGGAGGCACAAAGGGAATGAACACAGCTATTTGGTTGCACAGGTGATGCACCAACACGTCCCCTCGCCTTAAGGAGTCGAATACATCCGCCCGGGGGGAAGGAGGGGAGGAGGCGGGAGAGGGCGCAGTGGGGAGCAATGGGAACTGCAACTTTGGGCCTCTGGCGTTCAAGAGAGCAGGCACTGGGAACGGCGACACGTGCATTAATACAAAGGACCGTTTGAGAGGGCAGGCAGACAAGCGGACTGACCCCTTTGAGGCGAGGGTGTGTCTGAGGCGCCCAGGAGGAGAAGACGAGCTCCCTCTTGGCGTTCTCGTCCAGATTCACCGGAATGGTGTCGATCTCTGATGAGGGAATGAAGGATACGAAGAGGGCGAGGGGAGGGAGGGAGGGGGGGGGAGAGTACAAGCGTTGTGAGGTCCAGTGCTGAAGCATGATGAGAAGACGAGCTCCCTCTTGGCGTTCTCGTCCAGATTCACTGGTATGGTGTTGATCTCTGAGGGGGGAATGAAAGACATGGGGAGGGCGAGGGGGGGATGGGGGGGGGGGGAGAGTACAAGGTTTGTAAGTTCCAGTGCTGAAGCAGGAGGAGAAGACGATCCCCCTCTTGGCGTTCTCGTCCAGATTCACCAGAATGGTGTCGATCTCTGGTGGGGGGAAAGGAGGGACATGGGTAGGGGGAAGGGGTGGGGCAGGGCAGGATGGGGAAAGAATACAAGGTTAGCGAGGATCAGTACAGAACCATGAGGAGATGAACAGGCAGGTTACAACACCTCCTAGGGATTCTCATCTCACAGTCTCTTCCCCGTGTACCAACAGGGGCAGACCTCCGGAACCCACACCCTTCTCCCTCTCCCCTCCCCTTTCTCCAACCTCTCACCCACAAGAGACTGCAGACTCTTGAGACACGCACCTCCCAGGCCCAGCGGGCCGCACAGGCGGTACACATCATCGTGCGAGTCCAACCCCAGCTCGTGGGACAGCTTCAGCAGCACCTCCTCGGGCATCTCGCAGTCGACTTCGAGGCGCACGAATGGGGCAAACTTGCGCTCGCGCATCTCGTCCGTGATCATCTCCAGCAGATCTTCTGCTTCATCCTCGTTGCGCTCCACGTCCGCATTGCGCGTCACCCGGAAGAAATGCGCAGATGTGATCTGCAGGGAAGAGAGGAGGGAGGAGGGAAAGAGGGACAAAAGGGAGGTCAGGGGGGTGTTATGGGTTTCGCATTTTTTGTAGCGTGCCTGGGTGAAGAGGGGAAGGAGGAGCGTGGAAATAGGATGCGCATGGCATCTCGTCGGTGATCATCTCCAGCAGGTCCTCCGCCTCGTCCTCGTTGAGCTCCACGTCCGCATTGCGCGTCACCCGGAAGAAATGCGCGGATGTGATCTACGATGAGGACCCATGGGGTGGGGTGGGGTGGGGTTCCTGCTGCGTGAAATGCTGCTCTGGCATCCTTGTGTCTGCAACACATCACCCATGTCAGAAAGACTTTTCTGAATCGTGTCAGCTTGCGTAAGGAAAAAAGACATCCCACTGGACCAGTCACACGTTGTTGTTGAGCGTTAACACGCAAAACCTTAGGAGCAGTGCAGTGCATTCTCTTCTCACCTCCATGCCGCCGAACAGCGATCTAAGGTTCGCCTTGATGATCTCTTCTACTGAGATGAACGTGTTGCGCTCCTCGTTGCTGCCCCTGCAGAAGGGAGCACGGCGGCAGAAGGGCAGAAATGGGAAGGGGGGAATGGGCGGATGGATACGGAGGGTTCGCCTTAATGATCTCCTCCACTGAGATGAACGTGTTGCGCTCCTCGTTGCTGCCCCTGCACGTGCGAGTAGGGGGACAGAGGAGAGGAAAGGGGGAAGGGGGAAGAGGGAAGAGGGCGATTAAACGTGAGTGCGAGGTTGGCCTTAACGATTTCCTCCCCTGAGATGAACGTGTTGCGCTCCTCGTTGCACGCACGCACGCACACACACACACACACGCACGCACCGACAGGAGATGAGAATGATATAGCAGGCAGGTACTGAATATTCGCTAACGACTCTTCTTGAGAAGCCTCAAAACTCGTCTCAGGAACACTATACGGGGAAAGCCGCAGCGCTTTGGGCACACGAGTGGGTGCCAGCGGTTGCAGGAGTTAGCTCATTTGGGATTCCAGAGGCACAATTAATGGGCGGGAACGACACAACACAGTAGGCGACACAGCACAGCAAGCAGAGGCACTCACTCTTCATTGGGGCGCACGAGTGGGTGCCAGCGATTGCACGTGTTGGGCACCGACACAATGGCAAACTCGTGGTCGTCGTCCACTGGATCCCTCAGTGCCTGCACGACACAATTTGGATGGGGAGGAGGAGGGGTGAGGGGAGGAGGAGGGTTGAAGCTGGCCTAGAAGTGTGGTACAGAAGAAGGGGGCACGGACACAATGACAAACTCGTGGTCGTTGTCCACTGGATCCCTCAGCGCCTGCACGGCACGATTTGGATGAGGAGGGAGATGAACAGAGGGACAAGGGTTGAGCGGAGGGGAGGAGGATGAGTGGAGGAGAGGGAGTTGAGGTGAGGGGATGGGGTTGAGCGGAGGGGAGGGGGTTTGAGTGGAGGGGATGGGCACAGGGTATAAGATCTTCGACAGGCGGGGAAGGTTCGGACGGGTTGGAAGGCGTACCACAGCAATGCCTAGCGACATGTTGCCAGTGAAGGGGGAGGAGCAGGGTCGCGGGCCGGCAGCACTTTTAGTGCGACTTTTGATTCTACTTTAGGTGGCAGGGAGGGGAGTCGTACCACAGCGATGCCGAGGGACATGTTGCCAATGAAGGGGAAGGGATGGCCGGGATCCACTGCCAGTGGCGTGATGATGGGCTCTAGCCACGCCCTGTAGTACGCCCGCAGCTGATGGGGCGACATGCGAGGGAAAGAGGGGAACACAGGGGAGAGCAGTGAGACGGCAGCGGCGTGATGATGGGCTCCAGCCACGCCCTGTAGTACGCCCGCAGCTGATGGGACGAACGAGAAGCGACAGAGGAGAAAAAGAGGGACATAGAGGGCAACGGGAGATGGCTGGGGTGATGATGGGCTCAAGCAACGCAGCAGATGACAGGCACACAGGAGGAGGGAGACAGGCAAAGCGAAGTGGCAGGGCGGGCGAGCGAGTCGAGCTTGTCCCAGTGCAGTGCACGATGCTGATGCCGTGCTTGCGCAGCGACGGCAGCAGGTCGAAGACGGGGGAGGCGCAGACGGGAGCCAGCCAGGTGAGTACGAGATAGATGATGCAGGATACAAAGTCGCCTGCCTGACTCACCTTGTCCTTGGCGGGCGACTCGAGCTCGTCCCAGTGCACGATGCTGATGCCGTGCTTGCGCAGCGACGGCAGCAGGTCCTGCTGCAGGCACTGCAGCTGCATCTGTACAAACTGCTCCACCTCCCTGCGCCCCACCAAGCACGCCACCACACGCGCCACACCAACCACAACACGCATTCCACACCAAGCGACATAACAGGATCGCAGCACGTGACAAACACAAGAAAGATCAGCGCAAGTTGACAAAAAACCGCCTAGCTTTGGATAAATATAGAATGGATTATGCGAGATACCTGGATGAATCCTGGAAGCGCAACCGTGAGGTTAACAGAAACTGCAGCGTCACTTCAAAGTGCTAGCTATCGTCATTATCTGATTAACGTAAAACAAGGCAGACTTTCCTTTGGAGAGGTTTTGGCCTGCTTAGATTCGCGACTTGGCCGTAACTTTTGCATACTGAGCGACATCTGACGTATGGACGATTCGCGTGACAGCGTGCGAGGTAATTTCAACTCGGTGCAAGATTTTAATTCTTCCGCCATCCATCCACGGACTCGAAACGCACAACGTTACAATCTCAAGGGTTTGGCGTATTCATGGACGCTGATTGTATCGCAGCTATGATTCCGCACTACATTTCTCCACTCGCAGCGATTGGCTCGCTCTCACCTTGCGACGATTTTGAGCGACTGGCTGGGCGTCCAGAGCCAGCTGCTGCGGTGGCCGATGAGGTTCGCCATGCCCACCGCCTGCTGCCGCTTCAACGCGCCCACGCGCTTGCAGAAGAACTCGTCCAGGTTGCGCGCGGTGATCGCCAAGAAGCGAAGGCGCTGGCAGAGGACGCGTTTGAGAAGACAACAAGATACAGATAAGATATGTTAAAATGGGATAGCGGTCGTTCAGTTTGAACGCCGCGAAAGTGAGGAGAAAACCAGGAGCGGACGAGAAACAACCAGATGGGGAAGGGGGAAACAGCCAGGGAGGCAGAGCGAATGCTGTCCGAGTGCGCTGAGACGTCGATAAAAAAAAAAACGATAAGATCATTTGTTGTACCTCCATAAGGGGCGTGCGCTTGTCCATCGCCTGGTAGAGCACGCGCCAGTTGAACGCCAACCAGCTGCGAGACAGCGGACAGCGACGCAGGGAGAAGGGACGAGGTTCAAAAGCGACGCAGGGAGGAAGGACGAGGGACAAAAACGACATAAGGAACACCCCCAATAAGACGCAAAGGAAAGCCAACAGGTTAATGCCGGAGACCGACTATAGGAATCTTGTCAACAGCATAAGACGACGGAAGAGAGCGCAAAGCGAGACATTGCTAATCACGAAGACTACCGGCAGCGAGCGCGCACCTTAGCTCTTTGTTGTACACCGCATCAGCAGACACGAGCGCGTCAACACTCAACCCCGAAACGTCCTTCATCAGACCCTCCTGCTCCCACGGCGGCATAAGGCCCTCCGCCAAGCTCTCCATGGCTTTCATTCGGTGCTCCCAGCTCCCCACGCCCGCCTCCTCCATATCCGTCGCCGTCGTGCTTCCGTCGTCCACTTCATCCACATCCGACATGTGCTCGACTGCCACATGGTCCTCTGCCTTGACTGACGTTGACAGAGCTCCGTTAACGAAATCGTCAGCCTTGATGTTATCCGACTCCGACGATTCATCCAGGTCAGCTTCGAAGGATTCCTCGACGAAAGCGACCGACGGGTCGGGGACGGCTGGCGTGCCGATTTGCGGATCCCACGGGCCGAACTCGCACGCTGGGGGGTTGGAGCTGTTTGGACCGATGCCATTAGCGCGGATGCTCTGTGAACGGCCGCGGTGCGACGAATCTGACGCTCCGGGATACCGGTTCGTGAAAGCGGAGGAAGAAACAACGACGGGAACTTTCGGCGTGAGCCGGAGTGGTTGCGTGGAGTTAGAGGAGAATAGTCTGGCGGTGCTGCATGATTGTGTCAGGCTTAGTGACGAGACGCCTGACGCCGTCGGACACGAGTGAAGAGCCTCCATAAAAGGAGGAGCAAACTGTCAGATCTAGGAAGCAAGTGCGTGAAAGACGTTTTTTTTACGACGCGGCGAGAAACTAACGATGTAGCACGTATTTTCAAATCTAAACGACAACAGTCGGATGGAAGCAGAGTGGAGGTTGAACGGAGGCAGAAAGTTCAGATTTGTGCTTGCGTGCTTCGCCTCAACAAGCCTGTTCTGAGAACTCCAGGCTGATGAGTGGCGGCTGGCTTGTCTTACTGGCGGCAAATGCCAGATGCAGAAAGCGATGAAACATGCAGGAAAAGCAACCTGGCTCAGATATCACCAAGGCTCCTTTGCTAGCAGAGTGGATGGGAGGGTCTAGAAGTTGGATTGAACTGAAGCTGCTAGCGCGGGAATTCGGTGGCCAGAATGAGGATGGAAATGAGGCTGCAAGCAGGCTCGAGCAGCGCTTTTTGGGTTGACTGAGTGGGGGTGGTGGGGGGACACCGTCGAGAACAACTCGAAGCGTGACAGAAACAAGGTCAGGTTCGTCGCCTCTTCCAAACCACGTGGTTTGGGAAAGTGCTTCGGCGCCCTCGATTTCTGCTTTAGCAACTTTCGACAAGTCAACCCAAGGCTACAAGTGCCACTTGGCGTGTCTGCCAGCGCATCAGGGGAGAAATCTGGCCGCCGCCAATCTGAGAGGTGGGACTCGCGGCGCATTTTGGCGGAGGTCTATTCGCCGTGGAACTACCTTGAATTGTGGCAGATCTGCGTGTCGCTCCGTCACCCACATGCCGGAAACCCTCAACCCGCCGAGGCTGGGAAATCTGATTGGGGGACCCGACGACAGCTCAGCAGGGGTCACATGCGCCGAACGAGTTTACTGAAACCAGACCAAAAATCTTCTGAGGCCCGGTAGGCAAATGCTCGAAGCCAACAGAGGCTCGGACGGAACATATCTCCGTCACAGTAAATATGGGGTGACGTTTGTCGTCCAACCAGAAGAAAGATGTCAGATGAAGGTACCAGCTAGCACCGTTTGTCGACTGAGCGTTGGATTTGACCACGTTTCATTACTGTTCGTAGCTGAATATCTCAACAATGAGAGATCAGTGTGTGGTTCATCAAGGTTAGACAATCATAGAAAATGGTTGGGTACGGTTCTTATAGATTACACTGACAAACGTCGCGTCGGAAAGCACACCTAACTTAGTTTTCCGATCATAAAAGGTGCAAGTACAACAGCCGAGAACTGCATTTTGGTGGCGATTGGTTGCTTTTTGCTACTGCTCGCCTCGCCATGATCCCTCTTTGTAGCACTCCACAGAAACCGAGTGCCTGCAGCACACTTCATTTATCATCTGATTGCTCCGAGTTCACAAGAGCAGCAGGAGGCGCTAGCAGCAGCAACTCTACATTATCTCAGAGGAATCTTAGTGTGACGAGTCGATTCAGAATCGCCCGCGTGGGGGCCATTGTTCCGGTTGGAATTTTGCGTAAAGGGAAGAGCGGCGCCACGTGGAGTGATTCAGTGGTAACGGCCAGCGGGGATCGGACTGGATTTAACGCTCAGCAGGGTCAGATTAAGGAGTATCGAGGAAGATGCTGTGCACAACCAGCGGAAGGAGTGAGTCCCACAGATTATGCCACGTAATTTTAGAAGCCGCCGTTATGTAGCTCCAGGATATCGCTTTCCACTTGTCTCATTTGTTTGCGCGTAAACCCTGAATTCTTCAAACCCTTTTCGTGCCATTTGTTATGCACAACGTTGTTTGATCATATTCTGTCGCGTGTCTGCCTTTTTGCTTCCCCAACGGGTCTCCTGTTACTCGTTCACCCTTGCCAACTTGCACTTTACATATCAGGTTTCCAGGCAAATCGGTTGGACAAGGTATCGCCACGTGGACTACACCGAGTGGAATGCTGACGATGCGTACGCCACGGAGGCGAGCGACGTGGAGGGGGAGGCGAGGGAAGGCCCTGGGGTTGGCGAAGAGCGAGTGCTGCAGCGTCTGGTGGAGAGGTGAGGCGTCGCCAGGGGTGAGAATGCCAGGAGTGAGGGTGTCAGGAATGAGGCAGGAGGGGATTTTTCCTGTCACTAATACTTTCCACATTCTCTCCCCCATTCCCCGCTTCTCGTCCCCCATCCTCCTTCCCTCCCTGTCCCTTTCCTCCCCAAACCCGATAACCCCCAACCCCCTATGCCAGGCTGGAAAGCACTCCCCTGACCGCATCCCCGCGCCACGTGTCCAGGGCAGTGCGCAGCGCGGGGGTGCGCCTCTCGTAACCCCGAGTTACAGCTCAGCTCACTATTGTCAGATGCCCCACCTACGATGCTGCCTTTTTTCCATCACTAATTCTTTCCAGTCTATCTCCCCTCTTCTCCTTCCTCTCCCACTTCTTTCCCTCTCCCATTCCCACCCCCCCTATGCCAGGCTGGAAAGCACTCCCCTGACCGCCTCCCCGCGCCACGTGTCCAGAGCAGTGCGCAGCGCGGGGGTGCGCCTCTCCGCCCGCCGTGTGGCGTTGGCAGCGCGGCTGCTCGCCAGCAGAGGCAGCTGGCGCAGGGCGCTGCTGCTCGTGCACTGGGCCGCTCGCCGCAACCAATCACGCGTTGACAGGTCAGACTAATGGCGGAGATATCAGTCAAGCTGACAGGTCCCCTCAGGTTCGGCTTCCCTGGCCATGCCTTCCTGGCCATGCCTTCCTGGCCATGCCTTCCTGGCCATGCCTTCCTGGCCATGCCTTCCTGGCCATGCCTTCCTGGCCATGCCTTCCTGGCCATGCCTTCCTGGCCATGCCTTCCTGGCCATGCCTTCCTGGCCATGCCTTCCTGGCCATGCCTTCCTGGCCGTGCCTTCCTGGCCGTGCCTTTGTTGCTCGTTTCTGTTCAACTGCTCCCCGCACCTGCTTCTCGTTCATTCTCGGATTCTTGTCTCTTGAATCTTCTGGATCACCTACCCCTTCTCCTGTCTCCTTCCCCCCTACGTCCCCCCCTGCTGCAGGAAGGTGCTGACGTCGCTCATCGCTGCACTGGGCTGGCGCTACCCCGATGCAGTGCTGCAAGCCATGCGACTCATGATGGTACGTGTTGTGCGGTGGGGTGCGGTGCTGCTACTGTAAGCCATACGACATTAAGGCGCCCGCTGTGCAGTGCTGTGTGGTGCAGTGCAGTTCTGTGCTGTGTTGCAACTTGCAATCCGTGTACCTAATGATGATGCGTGCCTGCATGCTTGTTGATTCTCATGTTCCCCACTCCTTCTCCGTCCTACAACCCCTTCTCAAACCCCCTTACTCTCCTAACCTCTGATCTCCCTTGTCATCCACCGCCTCCTCTCCCTCTCTGCTCTCCACCAGTCGCAACCCTCCACGTGGCCTGACCTCCCAGCCTACAGAGCAGCAGCAGTGGCGCTAGGAAGGGCGGGGTATTTACAGGAGCTGCTGCAGGTGGGCGGAGAGAGGATGGGCATGGGGAATGTTGATTCCAGTCTCGTACACCTGAAATCTTAAACCCTTCAGCTATGTTCAGTTCAGTTCAGTTCAGTGCAGTTCAGTGCAGTTGTCTCTGCTTTCAGCCGTCAATTCTCATTGTTCCTTTCCTGTTGAGAGGAGGCTCTTCAGTTCACAGTAGTTTCGTCTCTCCGCTGTTTCAAGCTCAGACGAACAAAAGACTTACTCTGACCCATGTCTGCTGGCCCCTCTCTTCCCTTCTCGCCCCCATGTGAGGAGCAGAGCAGCTGATGCAGGATCTCAGGGAGGGCCCCACCCGCACCAACCGCACTGCACCACTTGAAACAGATGGCAGAGGCGCTGGCACTGGCGCTGGCGCTGGTGCTGCCAGTGAGGCTAGCAGCACAAGCAGCAGCGGCTCCAAGTCGGGTGCAGCAGGGAGCAGCTGGCTGGCGCCAGACGTGGTGGTGTACAACGCTGTGAGTGCTGCTGCCCCTCGTGAATCCCATCCACTGCCCCTGGTAGGTACCGCCTTACCACCCACTCCCCCCTAAGTCGGGTGCAGCAGGCTGCTGCTGGCTGGCGCCAGACGTGGTGGTGTACAACACTGTGAGTGCTGCTGCCCCTCGTGAACCCCATCCACCGCCCCTGGTAGGTACCGCCTTACCACCCACTCCCCCCTAAGTCGGGTGCAGCAGGCTGCTGCTGGCTGGCGCCAGACGTGGTGGTGTACAACGCTGTGAGTGCTGCTGCTGTGCTGCCCCTCATAAACCTCATCTACCGCCCCTAGTAGGTACCCCCTACCCTCAAGCACCCACTCCCTTCAGTTCGGGTGCAGGGGGCAGCAGCTGGCTGGCTCCAGATGTGGTGGTGTGGTGTACAACGCTGTGAGTGTTGCACCCGCTCCTCTCTAAGCTGGATATCTGAACGCAGTACTAAGGCAGCAATTTTGATCTTGTTTTTGCCACACAACTCGGCGTAAATCCACTAGAGAGAGCTCAAAGTCTGTGCGTCCTCCTCAGCCCTTTCCCATCCCCTCTCCTCTCTCCGCCACACTCTCCCCATGCCCGCAGGTCCTGAATGCGTGTGGAGCGAAGAGGCAGTGGAAGGGCGTGCAGTGGGTGCTGCAGCAGATGCGCTGCGCAGTGAGGGGGTACCTCCCGACGCAGCCACCTCTCGCTCCTGAGGAAGCCACCTTTAGGCTGGCCATCCAAGCCCTGTCGCTGTGCACTTTCCCCACTCCCCTCCGCTCTCCCCATGCCCGCAGGTCCTGAATGCGTGTGGCGCCAAGCGGCAGTGGAAGGGCGTGCAGTGGGTGCTGCAGCAGATGCGCGGCGAGGGGGTCGCTCCTGATGCAGCCACGTTTGGGCTGGCCATCCAAGCCCTGTCGCTGTGCAATCAGACGCACCTGGCACTGCAGCTGCTCGCTGATATGGAGGCTGCTGGCTTCCCTCCCACCGTCCAAACCTACCGAGGTAATTGTCAGACTTACCACCCAGACTTTGGTGGCGAGTCGAAGCATAACTTGGGTGCTGGCAGCAGCAGTGATGAAGATGTGTTGAAGAAACCCCCTCAGACCCGGTGACGGGGACAACTGAGAATGAGAACATCTCCTTTTGATTCGACTCAAGAGTCACCTCTTTTGAGTCGACTCAAAAGGCAGCAGCTGCAGTTATGAAGATGCGTTGAAAGTCCCCCTCAGACCCAATGATGGGGACAACTGAGAATGAGAACAACTCCTTTTGAGTTGACTCAAAAGGCAGCAGCAGCAATGATGAAGAAGCGTTGAAGGTGCCCCTCAGACCCGGTGACGGGGACAACTGAGAATGAGAACATCTCCGTTCTGCGCCTCTCTTCCCCGTCACTCCCTTGACAGACCTGGTGCGAGTGCTGGCGGCCGCAGGGAGGGTGGAGGAGGCAGAGGCGGCAGTGAGGGAGATGCAGGAGCGAGGGATGGAGGGCAACGCAGGGGTGTTCCACGCCCTCGCCTGTGCTCTCTGCTCCGCTGGGCGGTGGCAGGATGCTGTTGCTCTGGTGAGTTTGAAACCTTTCCAGCTCATTCGTGACGCTGTGTTTCGCTACATCCACCAATTACAGTAGCTGGCTAATCTGGGTTTTATGGCTATTCCGTATGATATGGGCAGGTGGAAAAGATTTCTCGGGCAGAGGATGCGCAGCCGGCAGTGGTGACGTGGACAGGCCTGATTCGTGCATGCGAGCGAAGCAACCGATTGGCCGACGCGGCCCAGGTGTTTCTCAAGATGCAGAAGCAGGGGTGCACACCCAACATCACCACGTGCAACATCATGATCACCGTTTTTGCCCGCACGGGCAGGTTTGCTGCTGTGGAGGAAATTTACGCAGCTGCCCGGTCGGGTGGCAAGCCGATAATCACGGGCAGGAAGAGGTGGATGAGCAAAGGGGAGAGGCAGGAGGCTAGGATGCAGCGGTTGGTGGCTAATAACAGGAGCAGGAGGAGGCTGATACGAGCAGGGAAATTGGAGAGAGGAGGAAAGGTGGGCGAGGTAGCATATGCGGTTGGGGTTGGGGAAGCAGGGGAAGAGGAAAGAGAGGGGAGAACACGAGAGGAGGAAGAAGAGGAAGAGGAGGTGGAGGAGGAGGGCGAAGTGGAGGCCGTTGGGGAGGTGATGACAAGCGTTGGGGAGATCAGCAAGGGTGGGGAGAATGAGGAGCAAAACAGGGAGGAGAGCGGGAAAGAGGAGAGGGACGAGGGCAACGAGGTTGAGAAGGTGTGGTTCGGGAGGAGGCGGGAGGATCCTCCACTGGTGCCCAATGGCCACACGTTCGTAGCCATGCTGGGAGCGTGCGTGCGGTGCCGGCAGTGGCAGGCCGTGAGGCAGGTAGCAAGAGACATGCAGCGGGCGGGGTGGCCCCTGCAGGTGCGGCAGCACGGGTGGGTGGTGGACGCGCTTCTCAAGGGCAAACAGGCAGTCATTGCTGACGAGCTGCTGCTTGCCATGCGCGGTGGGTCGCAGTCACATGTGGACCCACACCTCGATAGGGTGACAGCTGAGGGGGCTTCTGGGCTTGCTAACAACCAGCAGGACCCCGGTTGTGCAATGAGTGAGGATTCAGGAGGTGTGGGCAGGGAGGGGAGTCAACGCATGGTTGAGAGTGTGGGTGGGGATGAGAGTCCTTCTGGGGCAGGTGAGAGCATGAGCGAGGAGGAGCAGAGGAGGGCAGCGGCACAGCAGCAGCTTGAGTTGCTGTCGGCACTAACTGGTGCAAGCAGCAGAGGAGACGGGAGGAGCAGACAGGGGATTTCAGACGACAGCGGTGAAGACAGCAGCCGCAGGAGAAGCAGCAGTGCTGACATTCCCAGCAGCACCAGCACCATTGACAACACGAGCACCAGCACAGACAGCAGCAGCAGCAGCACGACTGACAAGGACAGCAGCAGTGGCGAGCTGAGCCCTGTGTTGCTGAGGGTGCGCGAGCTGCTAGAGTCCCATGCGCCACTGGATGGTTTTGCGTGGCGCTATGCAGTGGCATCGGTGAGCGGCGGTCTGACGGGGGCAGGGGTGGAGGAGACTGTGAGAGTGATGGACGCCTGGGGGAGGGCTGTGGAGGGGAGAGGTTTGGAGGGGATGGGTTTGGAAGGCGGGATGGTAAACGGGGAGGTGGTAAGTGGAGGAGGCAGATCTGGGATTGCCGCAGGTGCTGATTCAGCAGTTGTGGAGTCAGGGTTTTCTGAGTCATCAGGCGTTGAATCAGCCAGGTTACAGGGAGAGCCAACAGAGAGGGATTCTGTTGGTGCTGCTGCTGCTGTTGCAAGTGGTGTTGCTAATGCTGCTGGTGCTAGTGGTGATGCTGGTGCTTCTGGTGGTGCTGCATCTCCTGCTTCCCTTGAAGCCTACCCTGCATCCTCTCCTGCGGTGGACCCTGGTGTGCTGGCCGACCTTGTAAGGGGGCTGCTTATAGGGGGGAAGACGGAGGAGGTTCGAGTGGCGTTGCGATTGGTCGACCGGATGGAGAAGGAAGGGTGGGTGGCAGACGCCGGCATATACACCAGCCTGCTGCACCGGACCGTCAGGCTGGGGATGGGAGCTGAGGCTCGGGAGGTGCTGGCTCGGGCCGAGGCAGCAGGTGTGAAGGTTGAGTGCGATGAGCTGGAATTGAGTGACTCTGTAGGGGGTACGGCTAGGGAGGGGGGAGAGAGAGTGGGAAGAGGATGGCAAAGAGGGGAGGGAGATCGGGTGGACGAGCCATCTGCTTGGGACATTTTGAAAGTATGGAGGAAGGAGCTGAAATGAGAAACAACAATAACGCATTTCCTGAATTAGCAATAACCCTGGCTGAAATTTTAGCTTCATAGGATGCTCACCGGCTGGTTGGGGAAACAATATCTTAGTATAGCAACTGTTACAAGTTACTTCCGAGTTACTAAGATCAGTAAATGTTACCATCTGACTTTCGCGAAGCGTTTTTCCGTCGCCTTGCATCCCTGCCACTCGCCTGACGGACTTCAGGCTTTAGTTTCTAAAGCTCACTAATGTCAGTCTTACATCTCTTGCTCGCCTCGCGCTCCGCTGCAGCTCCACCGACCTCGAAACGCGTCACACGCGGACGGCTCACAGATAGACGGCCACGTAGTGGTTTTTGACAGCCACGTAGCGGTTTCGACGGCCACGTAGCGGCTTTGACGGCCACGTAGCGGTTTTCTTCGTCTTTCCGTCAAGCATTGAGACGTCTCAAAGCGACCATCACAGAGGACAGTTATGTAGCGAATTAGGAGGGTTCCTCCTCGCTTTCCGTCGAGTAGGTTAGCTTGGGTCGACGTCTATTAGAAGGTAAAATAGAACGACAACATTGTTTCGGTATCTTACTGTTTCGGCGTGACGTTGATTGCGGCTTTCCGTCGAAGCCATGGCTGCCTCAGAATTCGAGATTTGTGATAACTGGTAAAGTCTAGGCCCTCGTTTTCTCCGGGTGCGTCGCGCACACTCGGTATTTTAATCCGTGTCGTATTTTAGATTAATCTAGTTCCATGAGGTCTCATAGAATGAGTTTTTTCAACTGTGTCATTCCTGGTCGTCCCTGCGTGTCGTCCACGTATGTTTTTTAGGCGCCTCAAAAACTGTTTCATGAGGTCTCATAATGGACTGTTCAACCATGTATTCCTGCTCGTCCCTACGTGTCGTCCATGTCGCCAACCCCATTCCCGTCCCTTCCCATCCCGTCGCTTCCATTCCGTTCCTCAGCGCTCGTCCCATCCCCGTCGCCAACCTACCGCTGCACGCGGCGCACTGCGAGACGCGCTTCGTGCGCTGTGACGGGTGCGATGAGATGGTGGCCTCTGCCGCCATGGACCAACATATTGCAGCCGTGCACGCCCCTGTGAGTGCTGCTGGCACTTTGCAGGTGGGTTGTGACACTTTGTGTGCGGTGCAATGGGGTGTGACGAGATGGTGGCCGTTGCCGCCATGGATCAACACATATCAGCCGTGCACGCCCCTGTAAGTGCTGACAGCACCGCTCCAGTGAGTAGCGGCACGGCACTTTGTGCTTGAGTAGACGGGTGCGATGAGATGGTGGCCACTGCCGCCATGGACCAACACGTGGCAGCTGTGCACGCCCCAGTGAGCACCGGCACGGGTGGGTTGTGACACATTGTGTGCGGTGCAATGGGGTGCAACGAGATGGTGGCCACTGCCGCCATGGATCAACATATATTAGCCGTGCACGCTCCTGTAAGTACGGGCAGAACCGCTCAGGCTGGTAGCGGCCCCTTTGTGCTTGACGAGATGGTGGCCAGGCCACTGCCGCCATGGACCAACACGTGGCAGCCGTGCACGCTCCTGTAAGTACGGGCATGTTGGGTCCAAGTTGACAGTTGCAATGAGATGGTGGTCACTGCACCCCATGCACCCATGCACCCATGCACGCACCCATCGTTATCTTGACCCATCTTCCCCATTCCTCCACCTTCCCCACCACCTCTTCCTCAGGCGCCCTGCGCCCTGTGTGGAGAGCCCATTGAGCGGCAGCTTCTACCAGAGCACGAGGCATCAGCTGGCCTTGTCAAAAGGGCCTGTCAGTTCTCTCTCATTTTCCCTCTTCCCTGTACCCCCCCCCCCCCCCCCCCCCTCACCCTTCCTCTTCCTCAGGCGCCCTGCTCCCTGTGTGGAGAGCCCATGGAGCGGCGGCTACTGCCAGAGCACGAGTCGTCAGCATGCCCCCTGCGCTCCCTGATATGCCCCTACTGTGACCTCCCTGTCACCGCCATGGACCTCCAATCTCACGCTGTAAGGATATTCTTGTTGAGTCGACGATAGAGGCATGCTTCTTGCCTCCTGCGCCTTGCGCTCTGCCTGCCCCCTGCGCTCCCTGATATGCCCCTACTGTGACCTCCCTGTCGCCGCCATGGACCTCCAATCCCACACTGTAAGACGACGTGTGCCCATCGCTCCATGCTGCCGCTCCCAGCGCCGGCAGATCAGGTATATCTCACAGCGCTCCCATATGTTTCTATGCACGTACACACTCTCCCTCTTCCCACTGTTCACGGGACGTGTGTCGGAGCCGCATGGACTGGTGTGACGTGTGGTGAAAGTACTCACCAGGCTGTTTTTTTAGTCGACTCAAAAGTCACGTTTTGAGTAGACTAAAAAGATATCACAGGATCTTTTGAGGCGCCTCAAAAACAGAATTATGCCGCCATTCCCCCATGAGGAGACTTTTGAGTCGACTCAAAAGTGGCATGTGCAGGAAGTACACCGGTTGCCCCACTTCACAGTTACCCTTTTCACATCGCTTCCGTGTTTGTCTCCTCGTACACACTCTCGCCGCCTTCCCATCGCTCCCCTGCAGGACGTGTGTGGCAGCCGTACGGACCTGTGTGACATGCACAGCGAGTACACCGGCTTGTATCACATCAACTTACATGCATTGCATTGGACATTTTGAGACGTCTCAAAACAACACTTTTGTCACCCAGCTTGTATCATATCAACTTACATGCATTGCATTGCACATGCTCTCTCTCGCTCCCCTGCAGGACGTGTGTGGCAGCCGTACAGACCCGTGTGACATCTGCAGCAAGTACGTGCGAAAGAGAGAGCAAGCAGACCACCACCAGCAGCACCTCTTGCAACCATCACTCCATGCTGCCACTCCCAGAACCAGCAGAGATGCTGCCGGCACTGGTTTATCTCACCGCACTCGAGAGGCTCGCAATGTTCCGAATGGTGGTGGTGCTAGTGGTGATAGTGGTGGTGGTGGTGGGGGGTCTGGGGGGATAGGAAGGTACTGGCAGCTGCTTGTGCCTGTAGGGTTTGTGGTGGTGGGTGTGGCTTTGGCACTGGGTGTACGGAAGAGAAACAAACTGTAGGGAAACTTTTGGTACTAGGGTTTGTTATGTACCAATCGATATTTTTATAGCGGATGCCTCAATGTGGGTAGTCTTGAAGCTGGCCATAGCTGAACTATTTTTTCACAAACGAGCTCATCAGCACATACAGAAATATTATGCATCATATTCGCGTTACAATGGCCGACGTCTTCGCGAACAGAAATTGCCTCATATCGCGTATATTCCAGTTTCCATCTCCTTCCCTCGGCCATGTGGCTGCATCAACCATTACGACAGTTTTCAAGTGCATCTCTCCGTGTTTCACGGCGGTGAGAACGCCTTTCAGGCTCTACTACCTGTCAGCTTCTGTACAAGAGTCAACGAGTCAAAAGATTCAACGACCATCCGCCATGGACGCGGTTTCGCGGCAGTCGCTTTCATTGACGCAATGCGCAGCGCACATTCCGCACCGAGCGTTGCAACCGCTGGCTGCGTTTCGCTGCGACAGCGCACTCTCGAAGCTGTCGCCTGGATTCGCGAAATCGTCGAGTGGTTTCAACTCGTCTCACAGATGTTCGCCGAGTCTGCTGCGACGAAGAGCCTCGTCCGCGTTGAACAGAGTTAGCAGGAACCGCAGGAGCACTGCCAGCAGCCAGGGGATTGTGAAACGCAGCGAAGCAGCTGTTCTGGCGAGTATTCACGGTGATAATAACGGTGCCACTGACTACAGTGGAGTAGATACTACCAATGGCGGTAGCGATAATAGGAGTGGCGGCACCAGCGGAAGCAGCAAGGAGACTAACCCCTCCTCCGAACATCTCGCGGCTTCCCCGGCGGTTGGAAACACCCCGGAAGCTTCGTTTCTAGGGCCGGTCGGGGAGATGCTGCAGCGGAACAAGGCGAAGACGGTCGAGTGAGTTCGCGCCTGGTGAGAAGCTTCATGGAACCTTCACAACCTTAAGAAATAGGAAAGTTTTAAGCATCTCCTTTTTCCCCTCATCACTCTCATTTTTGCCACCTCGTGCAGCAGGTACAGTAAATTTCTTTCGTCTCTCAATCTTGTTCTTTCTCCCCTCTCTCTCCGCCAATCAACGGTCCCCAGGGTGCTCGAAAAGCTGCAGTCGTTTGGTGTGGCTGGCGTCCTCTCTTATGGCCTCTTCAATACAGTCTACTACATTTTCGCCTTCCTCTTCGTATTGTGAGTTGAACATATAGCATCTCGCATTCAAAGTCCCAAATCTCACGTGTGGTGCTCCTCCCTCCCCCCTATTACTCCTCAACCCCGCCACGTTCCCTCACGCCTCACGAGGTGACTTTTGAGTCGACTCAAGAGTCACCCCGCCACGTTCCCTCACGCCTCACCCCTCACTTTCACTCTTTCTTCTTTTGAGTCCAAACTGAAGCCGTCTATACCCCTCCCTTACCGTCCTAGTCACCATCTGCTCCCAATCATCCCTCCACCCCTTCCCCCCCCCCTCTCTCTGTATGTGTCCATGTGCGTCAATGTGCAGTCTCTACGTGGCCCCATCCCCTCGAGGCTTAAACTTGCTCTTGAGTCGACTCAAAAGCAATTATCCCTCCACCCCATTCCCTTCCCCCCGCTCTCTGTATGTGCCCATGTGCGTCTGTGTGTAGTCTCTGCGTGGCCCCATCCCCTCGAGGCTTGGGCTTCGCAGCAGCAGCAAAGAAGTGAGTGCCTTGCCTAGCAGCCGAACAACAGGTGAGGACCAGCAACAGCACAGGAAAGGGTTTGCCCAACTAAGTATTTCTCCCCGTGGCCCCATCCCCTCGAGGCTTGGGCTTCGCAGCAGCGGCAATGAAGTGAGTGCTCTGTTGCCTGACCAGGTGCTTTGTGCCCTGCCTAACAGCCTAACAACAGACGAGGACCAGCAACAACACAGGAAAGCGTTGTGTTAGCCTCACAAAATGACACTCTATGTGGCCCCATCCCCTGGCCCTGCAAGTGAGTGCTCTGTTTCGAGGGCTGGGAATAATCGAGGTCGTGCAAGGGTGTAACGACGACTATGGTGGGGAGAGAGCAAGGGATTGTTTAGACGATGACGAGCAGTCACAGTGCGGGGTAGGTAGTGTGTGGGTTAACGTGTGAGAGTGGGGGTGAGGTGAAGCATGTGAGGGATTCCGATTTCATCCGCCATTTGCACCCACCTCTTCCCTCTCCCTTCTTCCTGCTCCCCTTTTCTCTCTCCACTCTTCCCTCTCCTCTCGTTCCCCTCCACCCTTATCTACCCTTCCTCTCCCCCCACAGCTTTCTCAAGGTCTTTGCAGTGGTGTGGGCGGGCAATCAGGTCACCAATCTCATCCGTAGTCTATCTTGAGGCGCCGGAAAAAAAAAGAAATTTCCATGTTCCTTTCCACCCTCCCCGTCCCTCCACAGCTTTCTCAAGGTCTTTGCAGTGGTGTGGGCGGGCAGTCAGGTCACCAAGCTCGTGCGAGCAGGCGGGTGAGAAATGAGATGCGGAGATGATGATTTGCTTGATTGCCCTAAAATATCAGTATGCTCCCTGGGTGACTTGACGTGGTGTGGGCGTGGGCGGCCAGTCAGGTCATTTAGGTCATCCGTGCGGGCAGGTGACATTCATTATGCTGCAGGGTTTTTTTTTAGATTTCTCAAAAAAACCCTAAGGTCATCCGTGCGGGCAGGTGACATTCATTTCACTGCCGGCTCGGCGGCTCTACCCCTCCATCCCATAGTGCTGATGCCAGCTCCTTTCATGGAAACAGCCATCACTCCCTCCTTCATTGCTCTGCTTCTCTGCTCCAGAACACCGTTCCCTTTTCGTCGCCTCACTCCATCCCTCCACCCCACCCACCCCCGAGCACTGATGCTATGCTAGTGCCCTTCATAGAAGGAGCCATAACTAGCCTCTCCTCCTCCACATGCGTGTTCAATCTCACTCCACACCATGCTTGACCCCTGCTTCCATCTCTCCATGCTTCCGTCTCTCCATGCTTCCGTCTCTCCATGCTTCCGTCTCTCCATGCTTCGTCTCTCCATCCCCTCCTGCAGAGCACTGATGTTAGCGCCCTTGATGGAAAGAGCCATCACTGCACTTTCCTCATCGAAGGGTGTGTTCGAGTCCCGAGCCCAGGCAGTGGCAGCCATAGTTACCTTCTGCTTTGGCCTTGCTGGGGTGCTCTTTCTTGCGGTCACTGCACTGTGGGCATGAGTAATTCACCATGCCCTGTACTGAAGCTGGGCTCAGCCAGGCTCGTTCCGTTCACTCACCTAACCCATACGGTTTGTTTCGTTGTCTTAAGAACAACAAGAGTTGACGCAAGTAAGGCCTCCGGAGCCCACCTGTCCGCTCCTGACAAGTCCTGTGGTGTGAGGAATTCACCATGCCATGTACTGAAGCTGCGCCGCGTCGTCAACACATGTTTTCAAGTCCGGAGGCCAGGCTTCTACATTACTTGCCCTCTGCTTTGGCCTGGTGTGGTTTCTCTTCCTGGCAGTCACTGCCTGTGGGCGTGAGAATTTCACCATTCCTGCCTGGAGTGCTATTCTGCTGCTGTAGCGTGGTTGTCGGGCTTTCCCTGGTACAGCCTGGCTGGGGTGCACAGCTGTTTTGTTAAGTGCGTAAGAATCATTAGGAAGGAGTCACGTACGGTATTTGTAATCCCTCTCTGTACACGCGTGCTGCCATATCAAGACCTGTACTGTACGTTGCTTTTTACGGTACCGTACATCACAATCCTACTACGCTCATATACATGGCTGGATAAACTGCTGCCTTTAACTAGGATAATTCACTTCAATCAAACTGCCGATTGTTTGTACATGGAGGTATCAAGCACCTGCTTTTGAGGCGCCTCAAAAGTCGTCTCATCACCCACAAGTTCAATCAAACTGCCGATTGTTTGTACATGGAGGTATCAAGCACCTGCTTTTGAGGCGCCTCAAAAGTCGTCTCATCACCCGCAAGTTCAATCAAACTGCCGATTGTTTGTACATGGAGGTATCAAGCACCTGCTTTTGAGGCGCCGCAAAAGTCGTCTCATCACCTGCAAGTTCAATCAAACTGCCGATTGTTTGTACATGGAGGTATCAAGCACCTGCTTTCCGCACATGGCACACACACCTGAGCCGGGGGGGGCGGGAATGGAGGGGGTGTGGAAGGGGCAGGAGGGAGTGGAAACAAGGACGTAGGGAGGGACAGGGAACATATACAGATCACCTGTCGAAATTGACAACCTTTTCACAACCAAAATGTGTACCATGATTGGCATGGTGGAGAGGGGAAGTCAAAGGCGCCTGAAAATGACAGGAGAACGGTTCTTCAATCGACGTGGCAATCCAAAAATGTAACGTACTTGAGAGGTAACATACAGACGCTCACCTTTCTTATAAGAGCAGAGGTGGCAGTATTTTCCCTCCTGGTGTAGCTGCTGTTTGCAAATTATGCACTTAAAGGATGCAGACGACGCATACGGAGTGTACCTGCTCATACGAGGGACCCATAGGGTGGAAAGGCCAGGACGGACAGGCAAGGGTAAGGAGACCCGGATGGAGCGGAGAACGGAATGATGGGAAGAGAGTGGGAGTTAAGAGGCGTGAGAGTGCAGAAAGGGAAGAGATGGTGGGAATGATATCTATAGAAGAAACAGAGGAGACCAAATGACCAACATCGAGGCAGGTGTGATTCTCGGAGCCTCATATAACAAATACATTGTAAGAATACAGTATCCCTGCTACTAATGAAACAACATAGCTGCTCGTTATTTCCGGTGGTACCTTTTCTTCTTGGACAGCAGCTTGTTCTCGTTGATCTTTCTGCCGCCACTCTCAGTGGTGTTGGACGCCCCCTCCTTCCACTTGTCTGGCACGATCACCTTTGACAGCTTCTTCGCACCTGCCAGCATGGGGAGGAAGGGAACGTCTACACATATGAACGTACAGGGATGGAGGTAACCACTTCAATCAGCCGTCTTCCTGCCGCCGCTCTCAGTGGAGTTGGACGCCCCCTCCCTCCACTTGTCGGGCACGAACACTTTTGACAGCTTCTTAGCACCTCCCGGGTGCCAGCATAAGTAGAAATATCTCAAAGAGAGAGAGAGAGAGAGAGAGAGAGAGAGAGAGAGAGAGAGAGAGAGAGAGAGAGAGAGAGAGAGAGAGAGAGAGAGAGAGAGAGAGAGAGAGGGAAAGAAGAAAAAAAACAAACAAACAAAAAAATCAAACAAAACGAAACAAAACAAACATTGTCAGACTCGACGCTCTTGCTGGCTCAACGCCCTTGCAAGCTTCAAGGGAAGGACGAAGAGGAGGGGAGACATACAGGCAGAGATGCTAGAGACAAGGAAGCTTCAGGGACATTCAAAAGTACGTAACTCACATTTATCGCACACCATGCTGGTTCCTTGGAATAAGAGTCTTTGATAATTCCTTCCTTGCTGCAAGCTTCCTTGAATACCCTTCCTTATACTAGCCTTCCGAGAACCACGCAAGCAGAAAGAAGGAACTAATGATAACTAGTTGTTCACTCGACTAAAAAAATCGGCGGAATAGAAGCGCTGTTGGTCGTGCTGCGGTTTCGCGAACTGACGGCGAAAGTGAAGCCTACAGTTTCTCGAACACCCTACACAGTTCGTCGTGGAAAAGGTGAGCGAAACCTGGCCTACGATTAGACCGTTAAGCACAGACGAGAGTATAACTCAACATAAACTGCCACTATCTAACGTGCCGGGTGAGCTGCTAGCGTGCTTCGTGTATGAATTCGAAGCATTGAATGGAGCGTAACTTGCGCTGCGACTCAACTAAATATTTCAACTTGACCAAGGGTCAGGGGAACTGTGTGGCTGGGGAATCTCGACTCCGTTATAAGGTCACGCTGGAACAACACACTGACACTTTGTTAACCCTCGTAATTTGTTCTTTAAGTACGATTGTAGGCTCGCGAACAGAACTTTCCAATTCATATCGAAGAACAGCTTGTGAACAGTGTTAGAGAAACCTAATTCAGGTTGTACACTGCACAGTATGAGGTCGTCGTATAAGTTACGACTAACTCAATTTCGAAACCTAGTTAGATTTCACCAGAGCCTACACATTTCGGCTCGCTACTCCCCTCAGAACAACGCGACGACAACGACGACAGCCAAGGCGACGGAAGAAAACAGCTGCCAAAAGCTCCGCGCATGCGCACCGCTCTTTGGCGGAGGGGAAGTCGGGGGGAAAGAAGGAGTTGGCGGAGGAGGGGACGGCAGGACCGGTGGGGGGGGCGACGCGCTGGGAGAAGACGCTGAAGCGCTAGCGAAACCCGACGATTCAGCGAGTTGCCGTCCACATTCGCCCATCCCGCCAACGATAGAGAGATCGCCGGCGCTAAGAGAGAGTAAATCCTCGACGAACGGAGGCAGGAGAAGCGCGTTGACGGTGTGAACCACGACTGTGCTGCTCCCCGCGTCCCCGGCGCTTAGTTGCGCGGACGCGGCGGCGGAATCTGCGCCTTTCCCGGAATGGCGCTCTTCGGCGGGGGAGAGGGGAGTCAAGGACAGCGTGAGCGCGCGATACTGCTTCACGCTGGTTCCGCCGACCTGGAACGCCAGCTCGTCCACGTGGAGCGCGATCGGCGCGCCCTGGAGCGTCTCGTACGAGCCTTCCCACGCGAACGCGGAGACGGGTCGCGCGACCACGTGGTACAGGAGCACATCGCGGAGGAGCGCGGCGTTACGCGGAAGCTTCAGGAACGCGAGTAGCGCGGGGTCCGCGCGCATGAGGGCGACGTTGGTTGGCGCGAAAATGGTCAGCGCGGATCCGAATCTCGCGCGGAGTTCGAGCTCTGGCATGATCCCTGCTTGCTTGATGAGGCTCGCGAATCCCGTGAGTCCCGCCGACGATAGCTCTCTTTCCAAGGACAAATCGACGCCAGAAGAGACCACGTCAGATGATTCGTGCGCGGATTGCGCGGATGCGAGCATTCTGGCGGGTTGTGACGATCCGAGAAGGAGCAACACCAGCGGGAGCATGGCTACGACTTGAGCTAAGCGCGTCATCGTGTGAATGGACGTGATCTGGAATGCGGAGGCGACTTAGTGAATGCTAAGAGCGCTGCAGAACCACGTACGCAGATGATGTGACCTATGTGCTTGAATAACCACCGAGAAATAGAATGCGGAGTGGTTTGCAGAATCAGTAGTTACTAAAAGTGGAAGTAAGATCTTGTGAAGCTGTTCTGTGGAAGCAGACGTCCTAAATGCTGCGCTTGTGTCGCGTGCTGCTGGCTCCTGGGTGTGAGTGACATGCGGACCAAACCTCTGCACTCGGAGGCGCGCCACAGTCGGGGCTGAAAGGTAGGGGTGTCCCCGCGAAGACCGGCTC